GAATATCCCATCTCAGTAATCAAATTACCCTTAAGTACTCAAAAGTTTTTCCTGCCAATAATGAGCTAAAGGCAAAGTTAGATTAACTTCCATGCCACACAATCAAAATTCCCGGTACATTTGGGTTTTAATAGTTAGTGTCATTGAGGAATTTGGGCATGATATACATTGATAAGCCATTTAGAGGCATTTTCAAAAATAATAATGAATTGGATGTATTAAAGCTATATTAACTGATGATAGACATCAGGAAATTTGTTGGGATTCGGAGGGATATTGAAGAAGTTGGATAATATCAAGTGATTAAGGAGATATAGTATTTGTAGGACAGTAGATATTTGTAGGATTTAATAGGATATCAGTAATTTGGAGGACATCCATTTCTTTTCTGCAAAATATTAGGATTACTATTCATATCTCAAAATATCAGAATCCAAATCCATCAATATCTCCATATATGACTCAGTTCATCTTATATCACTGATATCCTGCAAATCCTCTATATCATTCCAAATCCTTCACTAACTCTCTTAATCCCTCTTGATCTACGAATCACTAAAACCTCCTCTAATTATTTCAATTTCTCGATAATTTCCCCAATCCTTTTAATCTCCTGATATCTCTCTTCCCCCCCCCCCCAAATCCCCTGATATCCCTCTTACTCCGCTATCCATCTTAATCCCTTCAAAAATATCACATTTATTCATATTAAAAAGGAATATTAAACTAGTTAATAAAGGGGATAGAGAAATAGAGTTAGATAGTTAATACTTAAAAAGGGCCATTCAATTAGAGGTGCCATTCAAATAGAGGCTGCCATTCTATTTTTCATTCATTCAAAAATGTGTCATTCTATTGGAGGTGCCATTCAAATGGAGGTGCCATTCAATTAGAATAAATACGGTATATTTAAATAGGGCACAAAAACTACCTTGGTCATGAACAAGCCTTGACTGACCAGTGTCTGACCGTTGAGTTCTAATAGAAGAAAAACATAAATGACCAGTGATAGATGTAATAAAAAAATGGGGGGGGGGGACACTGGTCAGTTCGCGGGCAGTGCAGCTTCAGTGATTTATTTAAATATAAATCCGAGCCCTATTTATTACCTAGTTACTGAATTTTATTTTAATTCATTTAATTTTGAACAAACGACACTTTTTTATCTCCCCATTTCACATTTCCAAACATACCTAAATACATTGTTCCAAAGATAGTATAAGGTCGCTTTTTCTTGAATAATTCCATGACTATTTATCCAATATTTAGAACTTTTTATATTGTGTTTTTTAAAATCCACTATAGAAATAAAAAATTTTTTAAAGAATTTTGTTGAAAAAAACTTGGGTTATTCATTGAATAATGCGAAACATGTGTGAAAAGCAAATTTGCTTTGATTCGGGTTCGGTTATTGTAGTTTCCCCGGATTTTCCAGCCTAGCATCTCGATAGAAACAATTTACAGTGTTTGATAAAAACAGAACAAAGTATCTTTTGAATAAATTATTAAAGGATAAAGGGGGAGTCATTATTTGTAAATTACTTTAATTTATCATATTTTTAGGATATGATGGATGCGTTTTTGTTTATGCAGAAAAGTCATTTAAAAGAATACAAAACTGTTTTGATTATTCTCTATGTTATTTTGAAATAAAATGCAAAATTGAAAGAGAATTGAATAATGGCAAAACATGGGTGGATATTGGTCTCAAAAATTGTTGTGGAAATAAACATATTTTATATTCTGCAAATATGTCTAGAATTTATAATGAAGAATTTGAATCATTTAACCTTTCAACAAATTTCAATAATAATGATATTTATGGTTGTGGACTAGTTTATCCTCCAACTAATAAATTAAATGAAGAATTTCCTTATGTTTTCTTTACTCAAAATGGGAAAAAATCGGTAAATATTTACTAAAAAATATCTTTATAAAAATTGTTTTTTAAAGGTAAGGGCTTATTATTAAAGGACCATTTTGACTCATATAAACCATATGTTTGGCTGCGATGTTGTTCTGTTGAAGCAAATTTTGGAAATGATTTGGAGGCAAAACCATTTAAATATGACATTTCAAAGCATTCAGTCCTTAAAGAATTTTATTGAAATTTTTTGATTAATTTTGTTTTCTGACTACTTTTCACCAATTTAAATTATCAATTTTTTAAATATTTCTTTTAAACTTTTGAATAAAACGGCCATTTATATTTCCCTTTTATATTCTTAAAAATTAAATTTAAATTCTCTCCATAAACTTTAAATTTTGTTTAAGGAAAATTAACTTAATTTTTTTATAAATTTAACTTTTACTTATTTTATCAAAATTCTACAAAACAATAATTCGTATATTTTTAATTTTTGTTTTAGAATGAATTTTTTTAAATTTATTTTTAAATTAAAAAGAAATTATCGATTTAATTTAGGATATATTTTAAAAATCTAGCTAATTTAATAAGTTTTTCTTTAAATCATCGAAAGAATCTAATTATATAATTGAGAAGGGTGTGTCTGTCTGTCTGTTTGTCCTTTTATAGACAAGTGGGTTTTTATAGTAAAATGATTTGGGGGAGTGAGGAAATGGGGGCTTTTATAGTAAAGCGTTGCCAGTTGAATTAGGTTGTAAGGGTAAGAAGATGGTATAAAAGCAGAGTATTTTGGTCAGTCCTCAACTGCTTTCAACACTTCTCAACATTGCCGTGCTCTTTTTCACGTCAACTTTTGCTGGAGTTGACCTGTGTCCTCTTGAGCTAGACGTCAACGTTCATTTGTCAAGTGGTAGACGTCAACGTTCATTTGTCAAGTGCTAGGCGTCAACGTTCATTTGTCAAGTGCTAGGCGTCATCGTTCATTTGTCAAGTGCTAGGCGTCAACGTTCATTTGTCAAGTGCTAGGCGTCAACGTTCATGTGTCAAGAGCTAGACGTCAACGTTCATGTGTCAAAAGCTAGACGTCAACGTTCATTTGTCAAGTGCTAGGCGTCATCGTTCATTTGTCAAGTGCTAGGCGTCAACGTTCATTTGTCAAGTGCTAGGCGTCATCGTTCATTTGTCAAGTGCTAGGCGTCAACGTTCATTTGTCAAGTTCTAGGCGTCATCGTTCATTTGTCAAGTGCTAGGCGTCAACGTTCATGTGTCAAGAGCTAGACGTCAACGTTCATGTGTCAAAAGCTAGACGTCAACGTTCATTTGTCAAGTGCTAGGCGTCATCGTTCATTTGTCAAGTGCTAGGCGTCATCGTTCATTTGTCAAGTGCTAGGCGTCAACGTTCATTTGTCAAGTGCTAGGCGTCAACGTTCATGTGTCAAGAGCTAGACGTCAACGTTCATGTGTCAAAAGCTAGACGTCAACGTTCATTTGTCAAGTGCTAGGCGTCATCGTTCATTTGTCAAGTGCTAGGCGTCAACGTTCATTTGTCAAGTGCTAGGCGTCATCGTTCATTTGTCAAGTGCTAGGCGTCAACGTTCATTTGTCAAGTTCTAGGCGTCATCGTTCATTTGTCAAGTGCTAGGTGTCAACGTTCATTTGTCAAGTGCTAGGCGTCATCGTTCATTTGTCAAGTGCTAGGCGTCAACGTTCATTTGTCAAGTGCTAGGCGTCAACGTTCATGTGTCAAGAGCTAGACGTCAACGTTCATTTGAAAAGTGCTAAGCGCCAAATTTCAGTCGAATATTGAAACCGGGAATTGTGAAACAGGCGTAATATTGAAGCAGAGGAATGAAGGGGGATGTGAAGCAGGCGGAATATTGAAGCAGGGGGAATTGTGAAGCAGGCGGTATTGTGAGAGGCAAGAGGAATTGGTAAGGAGGCGGAATATTGAAAAAAGATGAATTGTGATGCAGGCGGAATATTGAAACATGTGGAATTGTGAAGTAGTCGATATTGTGAGAGGCAAGGGGAATTGTAAAGCAGGCGGAATATTGAAACCGGGAATTGTGAAACAGGCGGAATATTGAAGCAGGGAATTGAAGGGGGATGTGAAGCAGATGGAATATTGAAGCAGGGGGAATTGTGAAGCAGGCTGTATAAAAAAGCAGGCGATTTAAATCGAAATTTCGAATCAGAGTTTTTGCCCCCGTTTTGAGCTGGGCAAACGAGGGAGAGGGCTAATGCCTCCTAAAGTGATTTCCTTATAAAATTCTATGTACCCTATCCTGTGTTTACCCTATCAGGTGCGCCTATTAGATTCTTTGCTTTGTTAATGTATTGGTAATCAGGAAATGTTTTAATGCTGGTCAATGTTATGATAATCGGGGTTTTCTGATTATGATTGGTTTAGGGCCAATTTTGAGGTTGTGATAAGTTGATTTGGAGTTTGTTTTTTGGTTTGTTTTGCTAGCGGGGTGGGGCGGCCGAAGGCCGACCAACTCCGCTAGTTAAAATATATTTTTTGAAACTTAATTATCCCTTTTTTCTTTCTTTTCAAATTTTTTTTTCAAAATTTCTTTATGCAGAATTTTTAGTGATTTTGCATTCGAGTTTTTTTGTATTGGCTTTAAAATTTTATTTATTTCCCTTATTTCTCGCTGCTACAATTTACTCAAGTAATTCATTGTCAAAAAATAATTGCTTTCAAAAACACGTCGTTAGTTGAGAATAATAAGTGGGAATTAAAAAACTTTAAAAAAAGTTGAAATTTCTTTTACTTTTTTTTTCTTTTTCAGAATCATTACTTACTAGAATTTAAAAATTCAAATTGTCAACAAATTTTTTAATTTCTTTTATAAAACAAAATGTAAAATGTAATAATAATTGTGTTTAAAAACAATTCTTTAAGAATATTGGTGTTGAGTATTTAAAAATCCGAATAATAAAAAATTGTGGTCTAAAAAGTATAATTTTCAGTCTTGTCACTTAATAATACGTATTTAAATTGTGTTTGTTTTTACTCAAAAATGATTAAAAAATACTTATATTTTTAGACCACATTTAAATTTATAAAATTCAAAAAATAATTTAATTTAAATCAAATCCATTTTTCATATTTATTTTGAAATCATCATTACTTTTCCAAATTTTCAACAATAGTCTCCAAAAAACGAGGAAAAAGTTTTGGATAATTATTTTTAATTTCTTCCCATTCTTTGCTCTTTAAAAAGCTTTTTCCATTAACGCTAACATAATATGTACATGCCTGCAAATAATGTATAGAATTTGATTCAAGTAATTTGAAATTACCTTCTCCAAAATTGAAGCACCATATAAGTCAATAAAACCACAATATTTAACAATATTTTCATTATCTAAAAAATACTTGAAATACTTTAAATTTTCTGTTAGATTTCTTACTGATATTGTAAGACATAAAACGTTCACATAAACACTTTAACATTTCTACTTGATATTTATGTGCAATAGCAAAAATTTCATCAGAATGACTTTTCATTTTATCTTAAAATTAAAAATAAATCAAGTAAAAAATATTTCATTTAAACCATCAGAAACCATTCCTGTGTAGAAAAACTCCAACATTGCCCGAACACATTCAGGAGTACTATCAAAAATAACAACTTCACCCTGAATTTATTTTAATAACTCCAGATTTACTAAGTTATGACCACTATAATTTCAAATTTTGGGTATATTAGTGTTCTTCGACTTAACGAGAAATGCTTTAAAAGTAGCTAGAATGAGTTTATTTTTTCAGTTTTTATTTCTGAAAATCTTTTCTCCATATAGTCATTCTTGAAGTCTGTATCTCTAGAACAAGAAACCAAAAAGTAATCAGTGTACTTTTCAATAAAGAACAGAAGTACTTTAATTTTTAAAACAACACTTGCATTTTTTGCCTCAGTCATACAACTTTGTTCAAACATTTTGTGAAATACTTTACTATTTTTTGCCAAAATACATCGATGTGTTTTTATAACTTGATCATCGACCTAAAAGTTATTTAGTTTTTGAATAAAACCAATAAAAACTTTAATAACAAAATCAGTCAATATTTCCTCATTTAGCATGTCTATAAATGTATTTTGCAAATTATCATTACAACCGTCAATTTCGATTTCGCAACAAAGCTTCAAATTTCCTACAAATTTTTATTCTTATTCAAATTTTTCAAACAAAACTTGCGAAACTTAAAACTTACCATTAGAACAAATCAAATTGTCCAAATTAATTGAAGTCAATCCCAAAAATCCTTGGGTTTCTATCTTGTAAGTATTAGATCTGTAAAATAACTGTTAATAATTGATACACCCAGTTCCGACTAGTATTTGTCAAATAAGTTTTTAGGTTAGGCTTTTTCACTAGGTTTTTCCGATACAGTTAGTGCCGAAAAGGAGAGTACCGACAAGTATTCAAAATTCCAAAATCTTACTGATAAGGTAACTAAAGTATTATACATAAGGTAGTACTGCGTCAGTCTATGAAACAGGATATGTTTGATTAAGGGAAGATTTTCGGATTTAAGAAATCAAACCGATGTGGACAAATAAAACTTTTAAAAAATTTAAATAATCAAATACCTTGCAATATCTATTAATTGAATAAAATCTTTCTTTGCATAAATTCTATATTTAATATTCGCGAGAGAATTCAAACTTATGGGTCCTAATTGTCGAATCCAAATTCTAACATTATTAGGATATTTCATTAATTCTAAACACAACTCCCATTCCACTGAAGGAAATTTTGAATTGGAAAATTTTTCACATGAAAAAAGAATAATAATAAAATTGTAAAAAAATTACATACTTAATAAAATTACTTTACTTTTGGACAAGCTAGGTAAAGACTCCAGAATTTTCTTAGGACCATAGACAGTCCAGTTGGTATTGTAAATAATAATACTCATTTAAAATAATCTTTTACTGAATTGAACTTATAAATTATAGGTATTTTGGAACAGGACGAATTATTAAATTTAAAGAATTTTATTTCCTTTGATGGAGTATGGATTGGATGAAATCACTATTCTTTTTTAATCGACCTAGAAAAGACTAAACAAAAACTGAAAGCAATTTGAATAAAAGTTTTATATATGTAAAAAGAACAATAAAAATTAAGCTCCTCCCCTCATTCTCCCATCTTTTGCCAAAAATTTGAATAGAGAAAATAAGTTCAACTCCACATACATTCTTTCACCAACTTTACATTCTAATAGAAATACTGATTTTATTTTAAAAATATAAAAAGGAACCTATTATTTTCTTGTTTATCTAACCATTCTGACCTTTTTTGTTGATCTATAATTTATCATACAAAATAATAAGACATTCCCTTTCATTATTTAAAACCTAAAAACAATTAAATTTGCTTATATTTTTTAAATTTACTTTTAATTTAATTTTAAACATAATTACCCTCAAAACATTTTTTATTTTTTAAATTTAAAATATTCCCTCAACAAATAAATTAATCTCCTTTACCTCTGTGTTTTTCTCAACAAATACATATTCTCCAAAAACTTTCTCTGGGCAAAAAACCTTCAATATGTATAAATAAATAAATTTATATTCAGTTTTCCTCTATAAGTATTTTGTAAAAAAATTCATTTAAATTCTTTCCATAAAAATTTAAATTATGTTAAATAAAAATTAATTTAATTTTTTATAAATTTAACTCTAATTATTATACCAAAATTCCATAAAACAAATACCGTCTCTATTTTCAATTTATGTTTTAGAATGTCCCTTGTTTTTTTTTTAATTTGTTTTAAATTAAAAAAATATTATCATTTCAATAATTTAAAATATGTTTTAGTAATATTTTAAATTTATTTTGTATTTTTGTAGTTTTTCTTCCTTTCCTTTTTATTATTGTGGATAAGATTGTCGGTTCTGGTAAATTCTTCGGATATCGTGAAATGAACCGTAGCGAGAGTGCGGAGAGGAGTTCGAATATTAGTTGATATTCTACTTGTTTGAACCCCGGACACAAATTTGATTTTTATTTTTAAATTAAAAATTTTATAACTAAACTGATCATTACTTCGAGAAACGAATTCGGGTCCCGATACTGAATATCAGACTCCCACAAATTGTACAGAAACATCTAGTCCTCCTTTTTCCCTATTTGAAATATAAATTTTGATATTCTAACTTTCTTTGTATTTTTGTCTAAATTTGCGACAAAATAAGAAATCAATTTTCAGAAGATTATTTAAAAAATATGAGAACACCAAAACAATTAGAAGAATGGTCATTTTCTGCAAATAATTCTGATAATATTAAGGATGATTTAAATGAAATTGAGGATGAAACACTTGTAGAAGAAGAAGGAAATTTAACAGAAACATCTAGTGTTGATGGACTGTCTACTACGTGTGAATCTTGTTGTCCATCAAAAAATATTATTAAAGGTTTAAAACAACGTGTAGAGAAATTAGAGGTTAAAATTATTTTTTGTTTAATTACGTACAAAAGAAAACCCGACTTTATTTAAAAATATATTTTAGTTGAAATTGAAAAATAACAATCTTTATCTGGAGAATAATAATTTAAAGATGGAATTGGCAAGTTTTTTCTTGTTTAATTTATTGTCTGAACTTCATTTCTTGTAATAATTTTTATTAATAATTTCAGAAAATTCAAAAAATAAATAGTGACCATAAAAATGAAATTGAAGAAATAAAACAAAAATTTCAAAAATTAAACGAAGAAAATAATGAAAAATTAAATACAGAAAACGATATTTATTTAAAACAAAAAGATGATAAAATTAATTATTTGGAGAAAGAAATTAAGGAGGTAGTAATTTATTTTTTGGTTAAAAATAATTTTCAATGAGAAATTAAAGATGTTTTTAAGAAATCTTTTGTTAAATAAAAAAAAATTTTTTTTAATTTATTTATATAAATAGGCTAATAGTCTATTTGAGAAGCAGATTGGTGACTTAACAATTAAGTTGAATAATGTGGTTTTTAAATGTGTGGTTAGTTTGTAATAATAATTACTTAAATTATTAAAATTAATTTTCTAAAAGAATTTTGTTAAAATTAAAAATAAATGGAGTGAAATTTGTGACCATAAAAGTTACATCTGTTGTTCAAATAATTGTATAAACACAAACAAACCGATTGGTAAATGTATCAAAGGAAATGGATTTGGAAATTTAATTGATGATGAAAATATTAAATATATTAATTGTTTTGAAGGAGGTTGTTTATTATAACATAAGTTTTTCAATTTTTTTATTTTTAGGTTGTGATAATCTTTTTGCTGTTTTTGCCGAAAATGCATTTAAAAAGCCACAAGACTGTTTTAATTATTCTTTTTATTATTTTGAAATTAAATGTAAATTTGAAAGAGAGGTGGTTAAAGATTTAAATTGGATGAATATTAGTCTTGCATGTTGTGATAAAACTAAACATAATAAATTTGCCGCAAAAAATACAACAATTCATAACGAGGAAAAGAAATACAAAATTTCAACAGTTATCAATAATAATGATATTTTTGGTTGTGGATTAGTTTATCCTCCAACTAATAAAATGAATTACAAACTTCCATATATTTTCTTTACCCAAAACGGAAAACAAATGGGTTAATTTTAATTAAAAATTATTTATTAAATTTAATTTTAAAGGTAAAGGGATGTTATTGAAGGAAAATCATGACTCATATAAACCATGTGTTTGGCTTCAGTGTTGTTCAATTGAAACAAACTTTGGAAATGATTTGGAATCAAAGCCATTTAAATATGACGTTTCAAAACATTTCATTCTTAAAGAATTTTATTGAAAAAATTGTTTTGGATTAATTTTTTTAAATTTATTTGTCTTGATTTATTTTTTTATCAATTATAACCAATTTTTCAATTCTCATTTAAAGTATTTATGGAAAGATAAATAAAAGCTTTTTCTAATATTAGGAATCGAACTAACATAATACGGTAAAAATACCTGGGCGAATATTTAATTTATGTTGATTCTTAAAACCCTGAAATCAACGGAAAATCTGGGTCTTTAAAAAATATTTTCGACCACTAATATAGGTCTGTTGTTATTTACATAATTGAAGCTATTGGAAATTTTGGAAATGAATTTGGAAATAATTTCGGAAATGATTTGAAGTCGAAACCATGACGTCTCAGAACATTTAAATCTTAAAAACGTTAAATTTTTTTTCGATTAATTTTATTTTCATCCTCGTTTGCCTTATCAAATTTTTTTAAAATTTTAAACAATTTATTTTTTCTGAATTTATTGAATTATGTATTATTCAAAATATTTGTGTATATTATCTTAGTTAATTAAAAAATCTTAAATTTTTCAAAATTGCTTTCAATTCCAAGCAGAAAGGTCATCACTAATGAACGATTTAAAGAAAAATTGAAACAAATTAACGAAAAACTTGCTATAAAATTAAATGAGAGAATTTCGAAATAGCTGATGAAATGAAATAAAATTGAAATTGATTTAAATTAAATTATTCTTTGAATTTTATAAATTTAAATTCGATCTAGCATAGTATAATTATTTTTTTAATCATTTTTAAGCAAATATATTCACAATTCGAATACTGACAATACTGCAAATTATACTTTTTATACCACAACTTTTTATCATTCAATTTTTTAAATACTCAACATCAATATTCTTAAAGAATTGTTTTTAAACACAATTATTATTACATTTTACTTTTTGTTTTATAAAAGAAATTAAAAATTTGTTGACAATTCGAATTTTTAAATTCTACTAAGTGATGATTCTAAAAAAGAAAAAAAATAGCAACAGAAATTTCAACTTTTTTAAAACTTTGTAATTTCCCCTTTATTATTCTCAACTAACGACGTGTTTTTGAAAGAAATATAATTTTGATAAGGAATTAGTACTTGAGTAAATTTTAACAGCGAGAAATAAGGGAACTTGATATAATTTTAAAGACAATACAAAAACCCTGAATGCAAAATCTCTAAAAATTCTGCATTAAAGAAATTTTAGAAAAAAAATTTTGGAAGAAAGGAAAAAGGGAAAATAAAGTTTAAAAAAATATTTTAATTCTTTCGATGATTTAAACAAAAACTTAATAAATTAGCAGTGTTTTTAAATAATTTCTAAATAATCAGGATTCGTTAAAATATAACCTAAATTAAATTGATAATTTCTTTTTAATTTAAAAATATAAATTTAAAAAAAAGTCATTCTAAAACAAAAATTATAAACATACAAATTATTGTTTTATGAAATTTTGATAAAAGAAGTATGTAAAAGCTAAATTTATGAAAAAATTAATTTTTCTTAAACAAAATTTAAATTTTATGGAGAGCCTTTAAATTTATTTTTAAGAATATAAAAGAAAAATATAAATTGCCGTTTTATTCAAAAGTTTAAAAGAAATAATTAAAAGATTGATAATTTAAATTGGTGGAAAGTAATAAGAAAATAGAATTAATCAAAAAATTCTTTAAGTAGTAAATGTTTTGAGACGTCATATGTAAATGGTTTAGATTCCAAATCATTTCCAAAATTAGCTTCGACTGAACAACAATACAGGTAAACACGTGGTTTATATGAATCGAAATTTTCCTTTAATAATACTCCTTTATCTTTAAAATTAATAATTTTTGTATGATTTTTTTATTTACCAATTTGCTTTCCATTTTGTGTAAAGAACACATATGGGAATTCATTCGTCATATTTGTTGGAGGATAAACTAATCCACAACCAAAAATATCATTATTATTCAAAGAGAACATTGAAAGTTGGAATGATCCTCCTTTCTCTTTATATATGTGACCACTATTTGCATAATAGCAAATATACTTGGTTGTATTACAATTTCTAAGACCAATACCCATATATGATTTACTATCATTTAATTCTTTTTCAAATTTGCATTTAACTTCAAAATAATATAAAGAATAACTAAAAGAAGTTTGTGGCTTTTTGAATGGGATTTCTGCATAAACATAAACAAATTTATCACACCCTAAAAATATTTTTTTTAATTCCAAAAATTTTGAATAATTTACCGCTATTCCCCACCACATATTTAATATTTTCAGGGTCAATTAAATTTACAAATCCATTCCCTTTAATACAATTCCCAACAGGTTTGTTTGTATTTATACAATTATTGTCACAACATCTAGTGTATCCACTATCAATTTCTTTCCATTTATTTTTAATTTTAACAAATATCATATTATTCAATAAACTAACCACAGAATTTAAATTATGTAATTCAAATAAACTATCAAACTTTTTGTCGGTCAAATCATTTGCCTTTATTGAATAAAATTTTAATTAATTTAAAAAATATTTTTTATTTGTTTTAAATATTAAAATTAAATCATTTTCCTTTAAATATTTTAAAAGAAATTGATTGTATTAACATTTTCCGGTTTAAACAAAATTAGCTTAGCTACATAAAAGCTAAATTAATTATTTACCTTTTTAATTTCAGCTTCCAAAGAATTAATTTTCTCATCTTTTTGATTTAAATCTTGCTTTATTCCTTCCATCTCATTTTTATGTTCAGAATTTATTTTTTGAATTTTCTAAAATTATTTTTAAAAAATATTCAAAAAATCCAAACTTTATCCATTCCCTTCAATTCATTTTCTAAATTGACATTCTTTTCCTTCTCTTCATTAAATTTTAATTCAAGATTATTAAAATTAGTTTGAAGTTTAATTAAATCATTGCTTTGATTATGTAACTAAAATAATTTTTTAATTTTAAAAATTATGGTTTAAATTTACTTTTAATTCCAAATCAGAATTTGAAATGTGATTTACCGTATTTACTGGATTAATTCCCCTGTGGAATTATTATTTCAACAAATCCGTGGCATGGGGAATTATATAGTAGGGTATTTGGGGGGAGGGATTATTGTTTCAACTCAAAATATTCAAAAAAATCCAAACTTTATCCATTACCGTCAAAGTTGAAATCAAAAAGCAGGGGGAATTATTCGAGAGAGGGGAATTAATCGAGTAAATACGGTAGTTTATAGTAAGAATTAGATTGATTATTTACCTTTTTAATTTCATCTTCCAAAAACTTAATTTCCTCATCTTTTTGATTTAAAGAAATATCTAATTCAGCTTTTAATTTTTTATTATTTTCTTCATTTAATTGTTCAAAGTTTTGTTTTAAATTTTTAATTTCATTTTCATGTTCCTTATGAAGTTTTAAATTATTATTTTCCAAAGATAGATAATTAATTTTCAATTTCAACTAAAATATAAATTTATTTTATAGTTAAAAAGTGAATCCTGTCTCTAATACATAATTCATTAAAAAATAATTTAACCTCTAATTTTTTCAGACGTTCTTTTAAACCCCCACTTATATGTTGTGTTGAACAAGAACTACTACATATAGTAGACAAATCATCAATACTCGATGTTTCCAAACAACTTTTCTCTGTAAAATTATCTTCTTCTTCTACAAGTGTTTCATCTCCAATTTTACTTTTTATATTATCAGAATTGTCAGTAGAAAATGACTATTCTTCCAATTGCTTTGGTGTTCTCATATTTTTTAAAAATTATCTTCTGAAAATCTTGTTTTGGAGGTGGCGATTAATAGAGTATAAATGGTAATAGTTTGGAATTCGCCCCCCTTTTTTCCTTTCGATTTTTTCCTAGTTTTTTCTCATTTTATGGCAAATTATATATCATTCGAAAGAGCTCTTCGAGCTGAGTCGAATGACATTAAAATTAATGAAAACTAACTTAAGTGAACAATGTTATAACCGTTTACTTTAGCACCTTGCATTGGCATAAAAAGTTTTCCCAATAAGGATCTAGCTTCACAATTTTGGTAAAATTAATCAAATCTAGCCGATCTTGGTATCCTTCGACTCAGCTCGAAGACCTCTTTCGAATGATATATAAAAAATTATACACTAAATAAAAGAAGGCTCAAAATGGTCATAGAAAGGAAAAAAAGGGGGGGCAGATTCCAAACTATTACCGTATAAATTTAACTTTTTTTTAAAAAGTAAATAATTTTGTTTAAATTTAAAATAAAAAAATTTTTTTAAACACCTACAAAAAGGAAATAGAAAAAAACAAAAAAGGTATTTGTTTTATGGAATTTAAATGAATTAATTTTTTCTTAATCTAAATTTAAATTTTATGGTGAGTTTAATACATAAATGAATAAAAAATAGTCTATTTATATACTCAAACGGTTTTTGCCCAAAGAGTGTAGAAATATTTATTAAGGAACTTGAAAATTATTTTTATAAGATTATTTGTTGAGGGAATATTTTGAAAAAATAAAAGATAAGAAAATGTTTTGAGGAAATTTTGAGTTCCAAAGTTTTAGCAAAACACAGACATTATTAATATTTTTAACCTTATACATATTTAAAAATACTAGCGAAGTTGCTCGCCCTTCGGGCGAGCGCCTCCGCTAGACTAAATCTAAATCATAACAAAACTTAAAATATTAACTTTAAACTATCAACTATTAACAATTAACTATCAACTATTAACAATTAACTATCAACTATCAACTCTTAACAATTAACTATTAACAATTAACTATCTACACTTAGTTGATAGTGTTCGAGTACTATCACATATTAACTATCAACTATTAACAATTAACAATTTACTCAGTTAATTGTGTTAGAGTAACTATAACTATCAACTTTTAACTATAACAATTAACTATCTACTCTTAGTTGATAGGTGTTCGAGTAGGTGTTCCCATTTACGGGACCATTTACGCGCACCATTATTCCAACCACTGCCAGACTTATTTCACCCACTTACGGGACCCTTTTCGCTCACCATTATTCCAACCCTGCCAGACCAACCCTGTCAGATTGTTTTGACTGGTTGAAGGGATATCGTCAATATCATCCAATACAATTCTTATATTGCCTCTCATTTTTATTTAATAAGACTAAAATTTAAAAAATGAATCAACTATTAATTATTAACTATCAGCTATTAACTCATCAACTGATAACCAAGATTTTCAACTTTGAATTTCAGCTATTAACTATTAATCATCAACTATTAATTTTTAACTATTAACTATTTTACTATATAATTTTTATATATTTCTTTACTATATACTATAACTTTTTTACTATATATACTACTGTTAGTTAATAATTAATAGTAAAAGAACTTTTTTACTATATATACTACAACTGTTATACTACAACTGTTAGTCACTCTAGTACTCTCAACTATTTAGTGTCACACAATGTCAAACTCTAGTAATTTCGTCTAGTATCACACAATGTCAAACTCTAGTAATTTCAACTATTTAGTATCTCACAATGTCAAACTCTAGTACTTTCAACTATCACACAATGTCAAACTCTAGGACTTTCAACTATTTAGCATCACACTATGTCAACCTTGCTAGTACTATCAATTATAAGTTATTTAGTATCACACAATGTCAAACTCTAGTAATTTCGTCTATTTAGTATCACACAATGTCAAACTCTAGTAATTTTGTCTATTTGTATCACACAATGTCAAACTCTAGTACTTTCAACTATCACACAATGTCAAACTCTAGGACTTTCAACTATTTAGCATCACACTATGTCAACCTTGCTAGTACTATCAATTATAAGTTATTTAGTATCACACAATGTCAAACTCTAGTAATTTCGTCTATTTAGTATCACACAATGTCAAACTCTAGTAATTTCGTCTATTTGTATCACACAATGTCAAACTCTAGTACTTTCAACTATTTAGTATCACACTGTCAAACACAAAAACTAAAACCTAACTATAATTAAATTAAAAAAAACTCACAAAAACCAACGGTTCGATAATGCGTTGTTTAAATAAAAAGATCAGCACAGAAAACCAACCGTTGGAAATCGCGTTGTTTAAATAAAAATCAGATTTTTTGAACCTAAAAACAAATTTTAAATAAAACAACTTTTAAAAAACAAAACAAAAAAAAACAATCAAAACACACCTTAAATATAATTAACAACCAAAAAACTTTAGAAATTTTTAAACAAAATACAAAACAAATTATAAAAAATACAAAACAAATTCCAAAAAATACAAAAAAATACTAAAAAATACAAAACATATTCAAAAAAATTCAAATTCCTTCTTTGCTTCTCTAACTACACACTATTTTCACTTTGGGATATTTTGTCATTTTTAATTAAAAATAAAACACAACGCCAAACACAGCAAAATTTAAAGCTGCGGACAGACAGACAGAGCATTCTAAAATTTAATATAGGATTCCCTCAACAAACAATTTCTCTTTTCCCTCTATTTTTCCTCAACATCTCTAGTATACAACAAAACTGTTTTGGACTTTTCCTTCTGATCCTTTTGATTTGGGGAGAAAATAAAAAGGGTCATACAAGTTTAAGGAATCCTCTTAATTCTATAAAACAACCATCTGGTTTTCAATTATTTTTTAAGTAATTGTTTTAGAAAAGAAAAACATTTTCTTATCTTTTATTATTTAAAATATTCCCTCAACAAATATTCTCATAGAAATTAATAATTTTTAAGTTCGTTAAAAAACAGTCACTCGTTAGGCAAAAAACCTTTCAATATATAAATAGTTAGTATATTCTTTTATTCAGTTATCTTTTTAAACTCGCCCTAACATTTAATTTAGGCTAAGATCATTGGATATATAGCAAAATACACTACAAGATTTCAAAAACTCAAAACTTCTGACTGATTGCAAAAAAATAGTACTTTAAAAAATAACTTTTCAAAAAATTTCATTTTTCGTAACTTTATCGATCAATCTTAATTATATATCCAAGGGTACCAAGAACAGTAGAAATTATCCTCTTATTTACTATAAGTTATAGGTGACTGGATTGAACGCAGCCGGGATTGTCGTATACTGGCTCTATCAATTTATACACAATTTTATACCTATTTCAATGAGAGAGTGGAAAAATAATTACCCCCATTTTTTAAATATAATTAGCATTTCTAAGACATCTCATATAATTGTCCCCTCACTATTAATTACCCCAATCAGTGAAAAGTTGAAACAATAATTACCCAAGGTAATTTTTGAGAATATACGGTATATTAAGAATTCGGTTTAACATTAAATTTATCTTACCAGTTTTGTTATTTTATTTTAATTCTGTTTTTCTTTTAAATATTTATTTCTTAAAATTGTTCTACAAAATGTCTGAAGAAGGGTCATCAAATTTTGATTTGGAATTAAACGTAAATTTAAAAAAATATAATTTTTAAAATTACAAATATTATTTTTAAAGTCGCATAATCAAAGCAATGATTTAATTAAACTTCAAACTAATTTTAATAATCTTCAAATAAAATTTAATGAAGAGAAGGAAAAGACTTCTAATTTAGAAAATGAATTAAAAGTTTGGATATTTTTTGAATATTTTTTAAAAATAATTTTAGAAAATTCAAAAAATAATTAACGAAGATATTAAACAATTGAAAGATGAAAATGTTCGAAAAGATGGGAAGATTAATTCTTTGGAAGTTGAAATTAAAACGGTAATTAATTAATATAGTTTTTAGTAAGAACCAGATTAATAAAACTAACAACCCCAAAGTCAGGATTTTAAAAAGTCGAAGCCCGGGCTACAAAATGTTCTAGTCCAGACACTATTAGTTCAAATATTATTTAATTTTTTGTTTAATATGTATTTACTTATTTACATAATTTAAATATAAAAAAAATTTTTTTGAGTTGTTTAAAATTTAATTTTATAAAAAAGGTAAATGAATTGCTTGAGAAAAAGATTGTGGAATTAACATTTAAATTGAATAATGAGATTTTCAAATGTGTGGTTAGTTTGTAATTTAATATAAAAATTATTAATTTTTTAAAAGAATTTTGTAAAAATTAAAAATAAATGGAGTGAATTTGAACTAAAAGACGACTCCGTTATCTGTTGTTCTAGAAATTGTGTAACAACAAACAACCCTAAACGTAGTTGTATTAAAGGTAATGGATATGTACATATAATTAGTGATGAAAATATTAAATATATTAATGGTGTTGAAGGGAAAAGAGGTAAACTGTATTGAATTCTTAAATTTTAATTTGTTGAAAAACTTTTAGGTAAGGATGCAGCTGCTGGTGTTAATGCAGAAAATTCATTTGAAAAACCTCAGAATTGTTTAAATTATTCTTTGTATTATTTTGAGATTAAATGTAAATTTGAAGTGGATTTACATGATTATAAATGGATGGTGTTATGTTTAAATAATTGTAAAACAAATAAAAGTATTAGATTTTATGCTACAACTGCGACAATGGTTAACGAGAAATATGAAGAATTTAAACTTTCAACATTTACTTGGAATAATAATGATATTTTTGGATATGGATTAGTTTATCCTCCAACTAATATATCAAATGAATTTCCTTATGTTTTCCTTACACAAAATGGAAAAGAAATTGGTAAATATTTAATTAATAATTTTAGAAAAATTTATTTTTTAAAGGTAAGGCTATATTATTAACGGAGAATTTCGACTCATACAAACCACATGTTTGGCTGGAATATTGTTCAATTGAAGCTAATTTTGGAAATAATTTGGAAACTAAACCATTTAAATACGACATTTCAAAACATGAAATTCTTAAAGAATTTTATTGAGAATTAAATTTGTTTTTTGCTTTTACTCATTTTATTTATATATTTTTTAACAATTAAAATAACCAATTTTTTTAATTTTAAATAATATTTACTTAATTAAATTATTAATCAAAATTTCAGCACCTATCTTTTATTGTTTTATTCTCTAAAAAAATTTCTAATACCAAAATTGTTTTTAAATTTTTTAATTTAGATCATCAAGACAAGTCGATCGGTACAAAAAAAATTAGAACATTTTTGGACCAAATAATAGGAATTAGTCCACAGATCATAAAGTTATACTCCTTCGAACATCCAAAAAAAAATAAAAAAAAATTCATTTATTCATGACAAAAATACAATTAATAGTACGTAAACCAAACATTAGCATAGGTTCAAGTTGCTGAAGCTGTTTGCAAGCCCCTTTCCGTCCCCTTATAAGTAAACGACTACATTTTTTCTTTGTTTTATCTCTACATAGCTGTTTTTTAAATTATTCGTAAATAGAATAAAATTTATTTTAGTTAGTAATTTACTTTTGTACAAAATGATTAACGAAATTTATTATTAAAGGAATTTTTTCATTTTTAAAGCTGATAATTCAAAAATTGTGGACTTTTTAATTCCTAAAATTGAGGGTTATGTGAAGTTGTGGAAGGTTATTATGCATTTGAGGATTGCATATGAATAAAAAATTTCCTGATTCCTTCCATCCCAGATATACTACAACTTTTATATGAAAAATACTTTAAATTAAATTTTCTGAACATTTTTAGAAAATTCTAAACTATTTTTAAATTTAATATTTAAATAATCAAAAATGAAATTTAAATTAAATATTTCCTGTCATTTTATAAAAATCTAAAAAGTTTGTTTATGTATTTTTTAAAGGTTATCTTTAATTTAAATCTAAATATTTATTTTTAATTATCCCTCAAAACATTTTTTAAATTAAAAATTTCCCTCAACAAATAAATTAATCCTTTTCTCCTCTTTTTTCTCAATAAATGAATATAAAAACTTTCTCTGAGCAAAAAATCCTTCAATATATAAATAAATTAATTCATTTCTAATTCATTTCCATTTCATACATTTAAAATAAATTTAAATTCTCTCCATAAAATTTAAAATATAATTGAAGAAAATTTAACTTTTTTATAAGTTTAACTTTTAATTATTTTTCCAAAATTCCATAAACATTCTGTTTTTAATTTTTGTTTTACAATGCCCTGTTTTTTTAAATTTATTTTTTATTAAATTTAATTAAAAAAATATAATTAAATTTAAATTAAATGTTCAGTATATTTACTATTTACGAAAATATTATACTTTAATTTATCATTTATTTTAACAAAAAATTATTTTAAAACTACTAATTTAAATGGTTTTACTGTATATAACTGAAAATTATTATAAGAAATTCTCAACTTTGTTCTCACTTTTATCCCTTCCTAAAATTATTTCTCTGAATATATTTTAGGCATTTTTATTTTCAATTAATTTTATAATCTTTGAAGTATTTCTTTAAAGAATGCTTTACAATTATTTAAATTATGAAATAGTTTTAACAAAAAATTGATAAAAAAATTTTTTTTACATCCAGAAAAAATCTTGGGTCAAATACGGAATGTAACTACCGGAATCATCGAAAAATGAAATTTTTAATTTTTCCTATCTTCCACTTAGTAACTCATCAAATAAATGATATTTCATAATTTTCCACGATATCCCTGCTAAGGCTAGTATATCCTACTAACTGATTGATAACTGTGATATCCCGTTCACTGATATCTCTTAATCCATCGATAGTTAATCCATCGATAGCTTAATCCATCGACCAAACTTAGTTTTTACCGACTCTTTGAATATAAAATTTTAGTTTTTACCAAACTGCTCTAATAAAAAGGCCGGCCATTCTATTTTTCAATCATCCACCAGAGGGCCCTTCATTAGAGGGGGCCATTCAAATGGAGGGGGCCATTGTATTTTTCTATGAGAAATTTTAAAATTATAGAAATTTTCTCTTGCTAAAAATTTTCGCTGCAGAATACGGTATGAAATTCCAATCACTAATTTGTAATTTCAAAGATTTAGTTTTTACCAGACTTCGAACCAACATTTATGAAGAATTTTGAATAGAATTAAAATTAGAGTTGTGCCCAAATCCCTGCCTTTTTTAATTATTATACTAAAAGTTCAAACAATGTTTCCACTGAGATCTTCCATATTCAACAAAAATCAACAAATTATTTTTAATAAAAATTTTTTTTATTTTGATTTAATTTTCGAGGTTATTTTTATTTCGATTTTCGATTCCGAAATTTTTTAAAATTAAAAAAAATTAAAATTTAGGAAATTATTTTAGATTTCGATATTTACTTCATTATTTGCTCTTACCCACCTTTCTTGGCTGCCAAATTTTCATCTTTTTCCACTTTACTTTTTTTCAATTTCTGGACTTACATTCTTGTGAATGCCAGATACTTCAACCCTTGATCGGCAATTTTTGCGCACTTCCCGGACCACTAGGCATTTCAGCCTTAAACTAGGCATTTCAGCCTTAAACTTAGACCACTGGCACTCGCACTGAGTCCTTTATTGGTCACTACTACTCAAAAGGTCCATGCGCACTAACTAACAATTCACTCATTTTACTTCGACTCATGCCGATTACTAATTACGACGTCTGTCCGCTCAAAATCAAAATAATCACTTTCAATAATTGCCAAAGCAATTCACTACACTTCGCCACACTTCACTTTTTGTCGACCGCGCCATTTGTTACGACACGAGGTGTCCGAGATTTACTAATGTCAACTAACACAATACTAACACTTTATCACACGTAGAAATAAACAATGTGTAGGCGAAGGTAAGAGTTGGAACAGACGAAGGAGATCAGTGACTAGCCCCGCTAGTATGATCCGACTAGACTGACGCTTTCACTGGCTTTTATAGTAAACACTTTAAGGGCTGACGCCCATACACAACAGAAACCTTATTTAAAAAAGTTGTTCCATAAATTGTTCCATAAATTCTTTTTGTCTTATTGTATATGTATATCATTGTATATGCCTTGTCACACCGTCAAATATAACCTTTTCTCGATATCCCTTCAACTCGTTGTTTCTATTTGTGAAAACCCCCGGAATCCCGGCAGGATCCCGGTAAATTTGAGAACGGGATTACCGGAATAACGGGATTTACGGGAATAATCCCGCTGGGTCCCATCCCGGTCAATATTCTCAAACTAAATCCTGTTCCGGGATCCCGGGAATGCGATTTTGACGCACTCAAATCCCGTAAATCTTTGTAATCCCGTTCGACGCTTATAATCTTAAAATTATTTTTCTATTGAATTCATACAAACATATAATTATTTTACATTGTATAAACATTTATTTACTTTTCTGAATGCCGACGCAAAGATATCTCCTTGGTACAAGATAATTATACTTTAATTTTAACAGATTTTGGCGTTTTGTTTATATTTGTATAAAACGACATTTAATCCTAAAATATTTTTTACTCATTCTTTGCCTCCACTCTTTTGCTTTTTTATTTTCTATTTCAATTTATTTTAACGCTACTTTTTTGTTATTTATTTATTTTACTACTGTCATATTTTGTGTGTTTTACTACTGTCACATTTTGTTGTGAAATTTTTTTATATCTTTGTTTTTATTTTACATTAATTTTCCTTTTTTCTTACTTTCAAAGCCTTGATCGTAAAAGCATTGTTTACAAATAATTAAATTATTAATTGCACAAAATTCAAAATGAATTATATAGACAATTTTGTGAGCAAACAAAATTTATTCAATTTTGGTGCTAATGGTATATTTTTTTATTTATTTTTTAAATTTTTTCTCTCCAACTTTGGTATTTGATAAGCAAAACTAGGTCGGGTAATATGATATTTGAAATCATAACTCTCGATCGGAAACCGGGCCCGGGGAGAAATTCGAATATTTGACCCGACTTGGCTTTTCATAGCCTTGCCTATCGTGTGAACCGAGTTTTGAGGCCTTTTCTTCCTAAGTATTTTCCTTTATATGTACAATACGGTCAGTGTTCCGTAAGGTTTCTCTCTTGCTCGCAAATATACTCATAAGCAAATATTTACAGATTTTTGTTGGGTTGTCACCGGCTTCAATAAGATGTTTGGGAGATTAATTACTCGAAGCACACCACAAAGAAATAGAGTTAAATTGAGGAAGTCTGACCATTCTGTACGTATAAAGGAAAAAATTTGAACAAAGAAACGTTTCAAATCAGGCCCTAACCAAGGGGTAGGGGGTTTTCCCCCGTTTTCCTACTTTCCCCTTGAAATGGAGAAAAAAAATTTACCCCATTCCCTCCCCCCCCCAAATCCTGGTTTTGGGCCTGGTTCAAATATATAAAATAGGAGCACACCGACCCTTTGGAGTAGGAGGTGGGGTTGCTTCCCTATATTAAAAAATATTTTTAAAATTAAATAAACAGAATTATTCAATCAAATCGTCGATTTATTTTCTACTGTCTTTTTTGCTGGCGTTTTATTGATGAATTATTTATTGTATTTTGGTTTTGAATTTTCAACTTATTGGCTTGAATTTGGAGTGGCTTATTTTTCTTTAAAACAAAAATAATTTGTTTATATTTTTATAGATTCTTTATTGTACTATTATGTTTTCCCTGGGTCACTGTGTTTTTCAACTTTTTGGTTCAGGGAAACAGCAAGCAAATATTTTGGTGATTTATAAATTAAAAATAATTTTATAAAATTATTTTTAGAAGTTTATGAAATTTAATTTTGATAAATCAAAAAGTGAAGAATTTTCTGGTTATGTTGGAAACAAAAATAAAGGTTCAATTTTGATTTTTCCACTTTATTTCGTTCTGTGCCTGTTAGGCAGTAATGGGCCGGGTTACGAGAAATCTGAAAAGTTTTTCACCCGATATTCGTTCCTAAGTCAATTTGGGAATAAGATCCGGCTTTACTGGGCAAAGCCCAAGACTGCTGGGAGATTAATCACAATATTAAAAAACATTTTGTATCGATGACTCATTTAGAAAAGATTTAGAATTTTACTATAAAATTAGGAATAAATGTGGTAGGACACAACCTGTTTTAAAACGTGAATTTTTCAAATTTTTTCCAAAACCTAATCGTTATAAAATTTTAAAAGCTGTAAATTTGTGAAAATAATTGTTTTGTAGAAAAAAATCCCTAAATGAAAATGTTATTTGACCAAAACTTAAAACCGTAAAAGCGGTTGTTTAAATTAAGGCTAACCGAAAACCGGTGGTACCAGTTAATAATCGGTCGTGTTCACACGAGAAATAACTTAAAAATAATTTTTCGTTAAATTAGGTGATATTTTTATGAGAATGAATTTTTTAAATTATTGTTCCATAATTTTGGTTAGTCAATCACAAACCACGCAATTTCTTACATAATCCTTATAATTTTTAATTTTAGCTTTTGTTACAAGAAAATTAATTTTTGCCAATGCTTGTTTGCAAATGTATATTTTAGCAATGATGATTTCTCCAGTTAATGCTATGCAAAATTATTCAACATTTAAAATTCTATTTGGATTTTTATTTGCAATTGTGCTCATCGTTATATTTTTTCTTTTTGTCTATGGTTTTATTCTGATATATATATTTTATCAACTTAATCAACTGAACAAAAATTTTCCGAAAAAGCATTCAGATGAAGAGGAGCAAGTGCAAAAAACTCAATCTTCAAAAATAGAGGTTATTGTTTTGGACTAGCGAACTTGTACATTCGGACCCAATTTATTTAAAATGGTTCGATCCACGTTCCCCGGGGAATGTGGGATCTCTCCCCTCAGAGCCCACATCGACCCTATCTGAAAGTAAGGGCGGCATCCAATTTTCTCCATATTTCTAAAAATATTTATTTTTCTTATATTTTTCTCCCTGTTTTTGATTTGTGCCGTAAGGCTATAAACGCAAAAGTGTGTGTGTGTGTCAGTGTTGTCCGTGACCGATGTGTGTCCGTGTGTGTGTGTGTGTGACCGTTTGTGTCCGTGTTGCCGGGCCTACACGGACACACATCGGTCCCGGACACACCCGGTCACGGACAACACGGACACACATCGGTCCCGGACAACACGGACACACCCGGTCACGGACACACCCGGTCACGGACACACATCTGTCACACACAAGTTATAAGAAAAATAATCATTTTGCGTTTATAGCCTTACGGCACAAATCAAAAATAGAGAGAAAAATATAAGAAAAATAAATATTTTTAGGAATATGGAAAAAATTGGATGCCGCCCTTACTTTCATATACTGCCCCACATTCTTTATCCTCGTAGTGATAGTTTATAAATAGAAATTGTTCTAAAACTCAAATAGTGAGGGGCGAGATATGAACAGTTTACCCAGTCAAGTGTACATAGATCCGTAAATATCTCGACATTCAAATATTTTATCCTTACTATTAGTTCAAATTGAATAAAAAATATTCGGGCCTGGATGGTTTTTCTATCAAAATTTGCTGAATTTTTAGTCAAATACCTATGTTTTTTCTGCGAAAAAATGTCATATACATATAAAAATTTCGTAAATGTACGCAATAGGATTTGTACATTTTTGGAATTTTTATTATATCTTTATTTTTCCGAGAGTTTTAAATTAAGATAGGTGTTCTAGGTAATGATTTAAATATGGAAAAATCAAAATTTATATTTATTTGGTTTTAATTTTTTCCTTCAGGTTGAACGAATTAATGAAACAGAGCAAATTTCGGACAGCGAAGGTGTGGTTTTTTAAAATATTGTATTTGCTTTAGAGATCGGACTTGAATGCGAATCATGATAGTCATATGTAATTTCTCGGAAATTCCGAGAACTGAAAATTTTATTAGAGATCTCGTCTTAGTTCGGTCTCTGAGCATATTTTTAAATTAAATAGTTAATGGAATCAAAATAAATTCTTTAGGAAATTATAGAACTTATCTAGTTTTCTCATCTTGCTTATAATTTCAACGGGGAAACTGAGTTCTATGACTGGAATGGTTTTATAATTTCTTAAAGAACGAACAAGGGAGAGTATATGGGGTATCCGTGTAATTTCGGGAATCACTTTTCGATTTCACAAAAGGGAGCTAGAGAGAAAAAAAAATTTGCACTAAAACATATTCCTCCTTAAACTTATTGCGAATAAATATTGCAAACTTGCGGCATAGCCTAAAGTACCAACGTATTTTTTCGTATTTGGGGTTATATATTTCTAATGCTTTTCAATAAGACTTTATTTTGTCCGTTTTGGGTACTTTATGGATATGTCACCCCCCCTCCTATTTTGAGTCTCAGAGTTTTCCTTAAACGTAGAAAATGGTCAGAGATTATTTTCTTCTCCATGTCAATCATTTTTCTTTCTTCAAGCAAAATAAGTGAAATACGATAAATGTAGAAACGAAATGAGTGAAATGTAAGTATAAAATATGTGAAAAGGCAAAATAAACAAGCAAAATATTGAAGAAGAAAAAGATGATTGACATGGAGAAGAAAATAATCTCTGACCATTTTCTACGTTTAAGGAAAACTCTGAGACTCAAAATAGGAGTGGGGGTGACATATCCATAAAGTACCCCGTTTTGAACTAGCCGAAAAAATTGTCTAAAGGATTAATCCGTAAAATTTTTTTCTTACAGAAGATGAAGATTCTACTTCAGACATTGAATTAAAATTAAATGAAAATATTAATAGAGAAAACGAAATGTGTACTAGCAGCAATTATGACACAGGAAAGGTAAAGTATTAACTTACAATGTTTTGTTTATGGGTGAGTGGCAAATTCTAAAATACGGTCCAGACAAGTCAATGTCTGAAATTCATGGTCTGACCAAATCATGGAACGGCAAAATCATGGTCCAAAGAAAATATTCATTTTCAAATTTTTAAAAATTAGGCGGCGTTAAAAAGATATCGAAGGATTTGGCCTATTCTTTGATCAAGCTTAAGGATCAGAGATGACGAAAATTTCTCCATTCGTGATTCGTGGATTTTTAAAGGATTTCGTTCCGTATTTTGTCTGTATTCTTCCAGATCCTTTTTAATCCCCGGTATTTCTCCAAATCGCTCGTAATACTTTTTGCTTTATATATTTCTAAATGTCATCTTTTATTATTTTTGAATAATCATTTTTTAAACAAAGGCAAAACTGAATTTTAAAATTCGTATCATTTCGTGCTTTGATCATTTCATGTGATTGTTCCGTGATTTGGGAAGACCGTATTATGTAGGTCCGTATTTTGGTCATTCCGTAATTTGGTAAAACCTTAGTCCGACCGTGATTTGTCATTCCATGTATTGTCTGTTTCTTGAGTTATCCTAGAACGTTTTATTTTAAAAAGACATTTTCGGGGTTATTTTGTTGTTTATAAAGTACCTTTATTGCTTTCTTACTTTTTTAAATTATAAAACTAAAAATAAAAGCTTAAATTTATTATTCTAACATAAAATGTATAAAAAATTCAATTTCTTTTATAAGTTTCAAAAACATTTTAGAAATACAGTGACTACTTTATGAAAAATGGGGTGGCGTTTAAAACATCCTACTTCTCTTATTTAAATGATACAACTACTGAAAAAAAAGAAGCATCTCCGAATACAGATCAAAAAGAAGAGAAAAAAGAAGCTGATAAGAAAGATAAAATTCCAACCAAAAAAGAATTGCCGTTCGGAGTAATGCCATTACTTGGTTCTTCAAGTAAATTTTATTTAAAATTTATTTTAATAAAGTCCGTTCTAAATAACCAATAACTCTAATAACTTTTATTTTGATATTAGTGGTGCTTCGAAAAATCCACAAAATTTTCAGTAATACACATATCTATCGATATGAATCCTGAAATTTGAAAAACTTTTTTAAAAATTCACCGAAGTATTTCAATATTAAAAACTCCAATGACTACTGAAGTTTTTGTGGATTTTTCGAAACAGCAATAATATCGAAAATAAAAATGGATGAGTTTATTTAAAAGGCTAGTTTTTTGAATAATATGACATAAATAATTAAAAGTAATTATTTTGAGTAAACTTTTTGCCGTATTACGCGTTAGGCTAAAGTACACTTTACCGGGCGATTTTAGATTTTTATGATTTATATGTCAATCGAAAGAGCTAGGCGAGCTGAGTCGAATGACACCAAAATTAGCCCGCGGACTCAACTATGGACCGAGATATGGGTCCCCAAAAATCGAAAAACCATAGGGGGGACCAAGCACTTTTTTGGGGGTAAAAAATTCGAATATGCAAATTATACCTCATTCGAAAGAGCTCGTCGAGCTGAGTCGAAAAACACCAAAATCAACGAAATCCGACTTAATTTGACAAAGTTATGATCTTTTATTTTAGCTCCTTACCTATGGCATCTGTGGAGATTTTTGCTGCTATGGAGGCCCCAAATACGTCCAGAGCAAGGGATTTAGGAATAGGTTTATGTTACGAGCCCAGACCCAGCGCCCGTAGACTCCCCGCGAGGCGCGTGCCGCAAAACCCCGCGCGAAGCGCGGGGTTTTGCACAAGCGCCTCGCCTACGCTCCATAGGTTTAGGTTTTAGTTTTTCTATCGTAACTTTGTCCAAACTTGTCCAATCACGGTGATTTTGGTGTTTTTCGACTCAGCTCGACGAGCTCTTTCGAATGAGGTATAATTTGCATATTCGAATTTTTTACCCCCAAAAAAGTGCTTGGTCCCCCCTGTGGTTTTTCGATTTTTGGGGACCCATATCTCGGTCCATAGTTGAGTCCGCGGGCTAATTTTGGTGTCATTCGACTCAGCTCGCCTAGCTCTTTCGATTGACATATAAATCATAAAAATCTAAAATCGCCCGGTAAAGTGTACTTAGGCCACGCGTTATATAATAATGCGACGTATTGCGAAATTTTTTAAAATTTTAACAACTTTAGAAAAATTATCTCAAAAAATTGGGGTGGATGAGGTTATTTGGAACGGACTTTATAAAGAATAAACCCAAAATATAATCGGTTTTAAAACCCTCGTGGGAAGGTACGCCTTGCACAAATCGTATTAAAATATGGTGTAATATCTATTAAGGGGATAGCTTAACTTTACGCTATTTAATCGAACAAATTATCAGCGTATTCAATAAGACCTTTCCGCTGAAAGATAATTAATAATCATATTAAAAGTAAATGATTAAATCAGAATATATAAATTTTTGCCGGGACACGCCCCAGGTACCCATTTTTGCCATCCTTAATTGTCGTAAAAATTATGGTGCATGTATCCAAAATTCAACATATTTAATCTAAACAGGGGTTATTTATGAGTGGGTATTCAAAATCTAGGTCCGACTATAATTTGAATCATTTAAATTTAACTAATTTTTCAGTTCAAAATGGTAAAGTCATTGGTGTTGTTCATGCTGTGTCGGTGGGAGTTTCTAAACATCCAGTATCAGACGAAGAGTTTGCTCCTGGAGCCACTAAAGAACTTAGAACGTGTGCTTTTATAGCTAAGGCTTGTGCTGAACGGATCTGCGAACTTCGTGGAATTCCATTTACTCAGGATGACAGAGAACGCTATTTTTATGAATTCGACCCCGTACGTTTAAATTTATTTTTCTAGCACTAAACATGGTCCTACCTTTTTGAGATTATTAAAAAAATATATCATGGGGTTAAAAACTAACTTCCGGCAGTATCCTCCGCATTCCTTCAAGATAGAGCCAAAAAATTTTTAGAGTTTCTGTGTACTCTTTTTAATACTAACATTAAAAAACAAAAAATAAAAGCAAAGGCGAAAAAAGAAGGAATCTTGTAGTTTTGGCCTATGAATCTTTGATTTTTAGATTAAAGAACTACATTTCCATCTAGGTTTCGACCTCAGTTAAAATCTGCCCATCAATGATATTATTAATCTGTTAAGGTATACCTCGGGTTTTTCGCACAAGTCCGAATTTTGGTCTCTTACGTCTGCAATAATGCCCACAATAGTGTGTTTATTGGTACTTATTTACTTCCCCCTTCCCCGTCAATTTTTTCGGTGATATGTTTTAAGGGGTCTGTATCGGTACTTATTTAGTTCCCCCCCCCCCAGTCAGTTTTTTCGAAAAATATGTAAAAATGGTCAGTCTGAACAACAATTGTAGAACCCATCGAGCTGTGTCAAATGACACCAAAATCAACAAAATCCGACTTGATTGGACCGAGTTACAGACCCTAGAACCACTGGGGCGTAAAATCTTATGGACGAGAATTTAGGCCGTATATGAAATGAATGCGGCAATCAAATTTTTTCCTTATTCTTAAAAATGGTTAATTTTCTTATATTTTTCTCTCTATTTCTGATAAGTGCCTTAAGACAATAACCGCAAAAGGATTATTTTTCTTTAACTTTAGCATTTACTTTTTTTCTGTCCGATGTGTGTGCGTGTTTTGTCCGTCCGAATTAATTCGTGTTTTGTCTGTCTGTCCGAGTTCGTCCGTGTTTTGCTGTCCGTCCGAGTTAATTCGTGTTTTGTCTGTCTGTCCGAGTTAGTTCGTGTTTTGTCTGTCCATGTCCGTCCATTTCGCCCATGGTTTGTCTGTCCGTGTACGTCTGTATTTTGTCTGTCTGTCCGAGTTAGTCCGTGTTTTTCTGACGAACTCGGACAGACAAAACACGCACACACATCGGACAGAAAAAAAAGTAAATGCTCACAAAGTTAAGGAAAAATAATCCTTTTGCGGTTGTATGTAGTTCGCGGTATTTCCCCTACGGCATAAATCAAATATAGAGAGAATTATATTGAAAAATTGACCATTATGGGGAGTAGGAAAAAATTTGATTGCCGCATTCATTTCATATACGGCCAGAATTTATACAAATGATAGCTCATTCGAAAGAGCTTTTCGAGCTGAGTCGAATGACACCAAAATCAACGAAATCCGACTTGATTTGACAAAAATATGACATAATTCGTCGACTCCGGTAGGTCTAAACAATGTCATAACTTTGTCAAACCGTGTCCGTTTACGTTGATTTTGGTCTCATTCGACTCAGCTCGACGAGCTCTTTCGAATGAGCTATCATTTGTATAAAATCCAGTACCTATAATTTTACGCCCCAGTGGTTCTAGGGTCTGTAACTCGGTCCAATCAAGTCTGATTTTGGTGTCATTCGACACAGCTCGATAGGTTCTACAATTGTTGTTCAGACTGACCATTTTTACATATTTTTCGAAAAAACTGACTGGGGGGGGGGGAACTAAATAAGTACCGTCTGTATCTCGGTCAAATCAACTCGTTTTTTTATTTTTGTCATTAAACACAGCTCGCCGGGTTCTACAACCTATGACAGATGATCATTAATTGACTGGGGGGAGGAGAGTAAATAAGGTTATGCTATTTTTACTAGCATAATCATTGATTATTTTATTTTAATGTTGATAAAATAATTTTTAATCATATTTAGCTTGAATCTGACAGAAAGGGTCAATCTGGAGGTGTGGCTATCACAATCGCCACTTTATCTAAAATTTTGAAGAGACATCCAGTTAAAGGTGCTTTAATTTGTTTTTATATCATTGGCAAAATTTAAAACCAATTAATATTTTTATTTTCAAATAAATCGGGGTCCGAAAACATCGGTTAAGAAATCTACAATTCGAATATTGTGGGATTCCCCAGGATCCGCCAAACCTATTTTAGATCCATATTTTACTTTACATTCTCTTCCTTCTCATAGAGATTAAATAATCAAGGATTAATCATTGTTAATAAATAATTTGATTTATATAAGGGGGTCATAAAGTAACCTTTTGTTTATTAATCCTTGACCATTTTTAATGAGGGAAAAGGAATGAAATCTCCAATTATAATTTGATTTTATTGTTTTTACATTCTAATTTAGGTCTTTGTACAACTGGACAAATAACAAATTATGGTTTGATGATAAAAGTGGGAGGATTAGCACAAAAAATCAAAGCAGCAAAAGCAATGAATATGGACAAAATTTTGTTGCCCAAAACTATGGAAGAAGATTACAAAAAGTTGAAAGAAAAATATAAGAAAGGAATCAAACCAATCTTTGCGGAAAATATTGATGATGTATTTGATGTTATATTCCCACCTGATGCCCCACCTGTTGCCCCATGATTTTTTTCGATATTTTAAATTTAATTTATTATTGGAAATATAAAAATCATCAAATATAAATTGACAATTAAAAAAGAAGTTAACTAAGCAACGAGAGATTGGGGGGAGTAAAGGGATTGGTTGAGGGGCAACTCAAGGAATTCCAAATCACGAAATAGATATGTCAAGGAATGACAAGTCTTGTGAGGCCTTGACGAAATTTTCTGTACCCAAAGGTACAGAAGATTTGATTTTTTATTATTTTATTAAACTGAAAATAAAGATTTTTTTCTCTGGAAAAAGGTTTTGGTTATTCCGTGAGTAGGTCGTTCTTTACTTGTCTGTGTGAGTTAGTATCAGGGTTGCCGCGGGTACAAAAAATCTTCGGGTACGGGTTTCGGGTATCGGGTTGGAGCGTTTTCATTTCGGGTTTCGGGTTGGCAAAAATATCGGGTACGGGTTTCGGGTTATGAAATTTTCATTTCGGGTATCGGGTTTCGGGTTGGCAAAAATTTCGGGTACGGGTTTCGGGTTTGGCAAAAAATATCGGGTACGGGTTTCGGGTGTTAGTGTATTGGTGTACTAAATTGTAAGAGACAAGCTATATTGCATGATAGGATTTTGGGTGATATAGAGAAGGGCAAATTTGAAGAGATTAAAGAGACATTGTAGGATTTGGGGATTAAGAGGGATATCTAGGTAAAATCCCACCCTAATAAAATCCCACTATATAGTAATATTTCTCCGCTTTATCTCCATTAAAGCCTCAAAATTTCTTCCTTTTTTCACCGCCGGAGGCGAAAATTTTGTAAAATTCATGACTAAATTAAAATTTCTAATCCACCCCTATGAAAATATCGAGCCAGTCGACTAACCCATTCAACCACCGATCAACATAATAAAAATGTTGAAAAAATTATAAATATTTCCTTTTATTTTCCTTCTTTCTCTTTTAGAATTTTTTAAATTTATTTTAAAAAATCGGGTAAGGCTAAATTTTCGGGTAGAAATTTCGGGTTTTAACCAATTCCGGGTCACGGGTTTCGGGTTGGAAAAAATATCGGGTACGGGTTTCGGGTTGGAAAATTTTCGTTTCGGGTATCGGGTTTCGGGTACAAAAAAAGGCCGGGTTTCGGGTTTCGGGCGGCAACCCTGGTTAGTATGTTCCGTGAGTTGTCCGTAACTGGACTTTTCGTTCCTTGATTTGTCTGTTAGTTGAGTTAGCCCATCACGAAGGGATTAGGTTATTGAATTTAATATAATTTTTGCAAACCTGTAATTATGAAAAAATCATATTTGATAATCATAAATTTATGATACCATATGATAAATCCGATATCAAATTTGAACAACTGATATACTTGGTAATTTTATTTAAGAGAATAGGCAAATTATTCTCTAAGTTTAGAAGCAAAAATAAAGATCCATGTTCTAAGATTGCGCCCCAAGTTAGTCCATCGCTTATTTTAGTCGTGTTCCGCAATATTTATTCGGCGGTTTTTTCAGCTAGCAGTTATAAGTGTAGCAAACATTGGATATAGTATAGTTTACCGGTGGAAAGGTACCCATACCATTCGATTCGTCTCGACTAGCAGAGTCGAACGGTACCACTTTTTTTCCGGAGATGCCTGGGCCGAGATATAGGTCCCCGAAAATCGAAAAACCATAGGGGGTAGTAAGCACATTTTTAGGGTAACATTTACTATTAACTTTCAAGAGAAATACATGCAGAATTAATGTTTATTTTTGTAAGAATTTCTAGTTTATATTCAATAGAAAACGGGTCCTATATGAAATTAGGCCCTATATAAAACAGGCCCTATGAAATTACTTTTTTCATTACTTTTTTCCTTCCTTAATACGACATACTAATCAGAATTTTCTTCCTTATTCAATTCCAGCATATTTGCCTGTGGCATAATCAAATGAGAAATGTTAAAAAAAGGATTAATGGAAAGGAGAACGTCTAAATGCAGGCAAATACCTAACTTTCAATGGTGAGGAGCAACCAGAGCTGCGTCGAAATTTCGATTTTCGACTTTCGATTTTCGACGTTTTTTTCTAACGATTTCCAATTTTTGAATTTTTTATAAAATTTCGATTTTCGATTTTTTTTACAAAATTGCATTATCTTTTCTCTTAAGATTTTATTCCTACGGTGCCAAAAAATGAAGAAATTTGGCTACTTGGCCTTCCAAAATATAGCTAAACTATTATAACTAAACTATTAGGATACAGAAATTATAACTAAACTATTAGGATACAGAAATTAGTTTTAAATTTAATTATTAAAAATTATTTAAATAAAATACATTTAAAAATAAATAAAAGAATAAAAAAATTTATTATATAAAATCTAAAAAATTTATAAAATATAGAATATAAAAATAATGTATAAATACTATTTTGATAAATAAAAAATAACTAAACTATTAGGATACAGAAATTAGTTTTAAATTTAATTATTAAAAATTATTTAAATAAAATACATTTAAAAATAAATAAAAGAAT